ACGCTGAATTTCATCCCAACTGGCGTTGGGCAAGCGCAGAAGGCCATTCATCATTTGGTATTGAGTGGCATTATTAGTGTGTGAGCACATGCTTGTTGAAACTGCCCCCTCTACTCTGACAACCTGATGCGGTTCTAGATTTGAAATGATGCCATCATCGCTGTCGAGCCTGTTCTCCTCAAGTCCACTTGACATTCCACGCTCATTCGACGCAGGTTCTGGCAACATGAACCTGTACAAATTCACAAGAAATTGCAATTGTTATGAATGCAAAATGTGCATCAGATTCAAAATCTGTCTTGATTTTGAAACTAGTCTTAAGAAAAATGCAGGAACGCAGTTGAATTCGGGAAAATTACATGCCAACTAAATTAGGCCATCAACATGAAAATGAGCGTGGCATTAAAATATGAGCAAGTCATGACAAAGCAAAGCACGTCAATGGAGAGACTGCTGAGGATGGCGCGAGTAATCTCTTACATCTGCAGAAATAGGACCTAAACAGCCTCAGACACGGACTCGGACTGACGCTCTACTAACACTATTGAGTGAATAAGCATTCAACGAACATTTAAAGGCGATCACTCACAACAACTAGAGTTGAATGACTTGATGACTTGGAAGTTACCCGTACACGAAATGCGACCACAGAGAATAGACAGCTGATAACCGATAAGGCCTTTTATAAGGATAAGGCCAACCAATTGTGCTTTGCAGTTAAACCAGCGTGAGCGTGATTTTCGGTGATGAGTTAAAGCGGATGATGGATGAAGGTGATACATTGACACCTAATCAAGTTGCGAACGGGCCACATTCATTCGCATTTTGGCCGCCACCATCCTGCTCTTGCGTGAAAGCTCTGAGTTGGTGATCGTTAATCGTGTCACGTCGTGTGATCTGCTAACAACGCGTGTCGTGTCTATCCCTCACCTTTCCGAAATCAACCATGCCAAGTCATTTGTGGCGAGCAGCAAGTAAACACGTTTTGCCTTGTACCCACACCGCTACGCACCATCTGTATTCGTTATAAGTAGCTACCTTAGTAGTAGCCAGGCACACTCGCTCCACCAACTGACAGTTAATTGACAAAACCGAGAAGACGCCCCATTTACGCGTTTTTGCACAACTCATGTCTCGTCAAATCTTAGCGTCTCTACATTTACCTCACCTCAAATGCCTCAGGAATGGTGTTTTCGTATGTCCACACGGCTCCTCACTCTTGCGTGTTTTGCCTGAGGATTGGTTTCGTAATTCTTGATTTTAGTAAATATTATCTTTGTCAAGTTCCACTTCAATTCGACTAACAGCCTTACACTAAATACATCAGTTGTTGCACTTCCTGTAGTGGGTTTTTATTCTTCTTCTGGGTATCAATGTCAAAACAAGTAATTTAACGCCGATTCTCCTTGGTGCGACCAGAAGTTCTCTGTGAGGAACAGTTTACTATGTAGGTTATAAGTAGAATTTCGATTATCAGGTAATTACGCTGAACGCAAACAAGGTATCCACTTCTGAATGGGCTAGCGTACAGTCATTGTAGTTTGTGTAAATAAATGAGACGATATTTTTTGGAAGTGGCGGAGGAGGAATTTGTCGATTTCCGACATAGCGCAGATACCTCGATCTGATGGGGGTTTCTGCTAGCCTGCAGAACACGCCATCAAGATGATAACGCAAACACCATCTAGTGCGTGTCTCTGCACTCGTTCGCTTAACCCACCCACATGAGTTCGCGGCTCTGATATGATCCAAACCCGCGGAACAATCTCACTGGCTGGACAGGTTTGTCGTGTGTGGCGTCCAAAATGTAATTTCACGCAAGACAGTAATGGAATGCTTCACTGGGTACTCGCATGACTACTAACTACAAGAATCAGTGTTGGCTGCCGGAGGTAACGCGGCAGACCCGCCACGACGTGACACTAGCACAATGCTTAATGAAGACAGCACGGAATTGTTCACTCGTCGTGTCCAAGAAAATGGTTACTTGAAGCCAGGTCAGATGAAATCCTTCTCACTGAACTTCAGTTGGAATTTGTTAAATTCATCACTGACACCTCGAGTATTTAATGGGGAATGAATTTTCTGACCAAGGCGTTTTATAATAAGCAATCACTTGATCATTATTTTGTCCATTGCATTTGTGCAATACCTAAGAGATCTCGATATGTCCAGGTTTGCTGAATTACACCACTGTCAAAGCTAATGCTTTGGCCACACCACGTAACCTTGAATTGGCTTACACAAAAACGAGGCCAGCAACCTTTTGGTCCATTTCATTTCAATCTTCTTTCCCATGAGCGACCTCAAGATATTCCATATCAGCTGCTCGGCATGTTAGGTATCCAATAGTCATGAACTCTTGAAGTTGGTCAGATCACGTGATGTGGCACTTGATGCATGGAAATGATTTTTGACAACTCCACTTATGAAACCACCGATTAGACCATCGCTTTTACACGGGCCACTTTGACGTCAAAGAAAACACCAACATCAAGGTGCCTCACGTCCGCTCCACGGCATTTGGTTCGACTCATCACGCTAGCCACCCTTCGAAGATAACAACCTTGAACCCCAGCAACTGGCAAATTGTTAGTCCGCTATGTGGAGACCCAGTAGGGAACCCAGAACACCGAAGACAGGTCTCACCGGTTACCGCTCCCCTCCGGGCACAGCACAGAATCCACGGCTCCTGCCTCGGCTTGCCACCATAACCGATGAAAACCCAGCATTACGTTCCTTACCACCTTTCATCCACCGCTAAAATCCACCAAACTCTGGTTTGCGAATTAATACCCCCTGAAACGCACGTCGAGTTTATGAATACCCTACTGCGGAATGCACAACTTCTTCAGTGTTCGAATCAGTTACTAAATGACCAAGTTTTTAAGCGACATAGTGACACGATGAGTCTTATGTGTAGTAGGGTAACATCACACCAGAATACGAAATAAAACGACTCGAGACGCAAATCCTGAAAGGAAAACAGGCAAGCAGACCCTACTCACGCTGCACAAATAGGGATGATTACTGGGGCACACAGACGCAATCTGTGCGACAGATAAAAGAAAATCCGACGGCGATGACTCACTTTGCCTTGAAAAACAACACACCAGGCGTAGCGAAACCCACGAAGCTACTTTTGTATTCACAGACGTATTAGTCAGAAAACTCGATGTCGCAGGGCATTAAACCTGGTTCGTGATAAAACCGACCAGGAGCTATAACCCTGCAGGGCTGGAGAGAGCATTGTGAAAAAAGTACTCGTTTTTTTCCTTTGCGGACTTTATTTCTAACTTATTTCGCCTTCTTAGCCTTCAGCTTCCTTGAATAGAAATCGAGTTCCTTGCCCTCGAGAATGTACCCATCGCATCGTCCAACTTGACCAGGGCGGGAGGAGACGCACGCTAAAAGGTAGTGATTAGAGGGTCGCAAGATCTTACCAAGGAGACGGCCAGACATAAATTGTTCCTTGAGGTTGTCAGAAAGAGATGCAGCAGGCAACTTCTGACGAGCTTCGTACTTCTTCAGAACAGAGGCGCTACGTTTCTTGAGGAGAACGTCATCCTCAGGGTTTTCTGTAGTTTGGGCGTGCTTACCCTTGACATGATGACGGCCAAGTTCCTTTAGGTAGTGCGCCTCGTACCATTGGCGGAAGGGAGCAGAGTCAATTTGTACGATCGCGTTCTTTACAAGAGTCTTTGTACGAACTAGTTCGTTGTTGGAAGCATTGTAAACAACATCAATAATTCTTGACTTCCGCGAAATAGCCTGGGAGGGCCAGCTAAAGTTGCCCTGATCCAAACGCATCGCGCGCAACTTAATGTTGCCACCACGAACGCGAACAGTATGGATGCGACGAGGCCCAAGTTTGGTCATTGCAGCAGGCCTGCCCAACTCAAACTTCCTCTTTTTGCGGTTACGCTCCCGGCGTCCACCGGTTTTGCTACGCTTATGGATCCTATCGCGAGCGATACCTAGAAGGCAAATCTAGCATAACGAAAAAACGCCGACGGAGGAAGAAGAATTTCTTTCACAACCATGGAGCGCAAGATAACAATACAATCCACACAAGACTTGAAACTAAATGCGATCTATAACCCAGATACTATTAATAAATCATTTAAAAGAGATGAGATTTAACAGTCATGAGGGCAACGAGCGCTCACCCATGCCGCTTCAAATCCACCGAAAAAGTAGGTTTGGACCACTAAAACAACAAAGTCAACAAATTTGCAAGATCAACTGTGGAACAAATTTAAAGACATTAATGTTGTGCTGAAAAACACGCATAGTTATTGTTTTATATAAATTAGTTCTAACTTATGCTTTAAGCATTTTGTTGACAATAGCGACGTAATTTATGCTTCATCGATCCCTTGATTTGGATAAAGCAATGACAAAAAATACTATTAAAGCACATATCTATAAGCTGTAAATAATAACAACGCTTAAAAAACGATACTACCTTACAATTGTATAAAAAGGTCCTGAGAAATTTCTAATCAAACGCGTTCCGATATTCTAGGCAAGTGCATTCCGGATAAGTACCGAAGCATTACGCATGTCTCTAAGCTCCTTCCCGCCTTTTTACAGGGAAATAGATATCATTCTAGTTAGAAAAAAAATCTGCTCCGACTTAAAAATTACCAAATTTCATCTCGACTGCAGAATGCATTGCATCATGCTGCTGAATATATTTTATTTTGCTAAATTTGAATGTGGCAATCAGGCTTTCCTTATTGGTCTATTTTCGAGTCGTGGTTTTTCATTCCTTTAGAATTTTAAGGTTCTCTAATTGTGCTAAATGACCAATTTTGCCCTCAGATTTTATTTGCCACCTCGCGTTATGCACTATATACACAATGTCATTTCGAGGTATTTGGAGCGACATTTCTCCAATGAAAAGGTCAATGAACTTACGAAGAAATTCTTTTTGTATTTTTGTTTAGGCTCCATAAGTCTGTAAAAACAATCTGATTTTCTATGTAAATAAATCTGAAAAAGTAAACTATCTTCAGTCTGTTTTTGTGATCCCATAAACGAAATTCCAAAAAAAAACATCGTTTAAAAATTGATAATTTCTGTCAAAGGGAGTTTTTTTCTGGGTAGATATTATCACATGCGGCTTTTGTGGAATTTCTACTTAAAATAAATAACTTGCATAAAATATTTTATGACAGACCACTTCGGCAACCTCGGCGATGTCTAATATCTTCCATTTTCAGTAATTGTTTATGAGTAAAATTGCCTGCGAATTGTAACGAAAAAATATTTCTTTATTAATATAATCTTGAAAAACTACTTATTTCTCTTTCCTTAAACGTAGAATGCTGTGACCCCTGCCTTGTTGTCATAAAACACTCCGGAATCGCTAAGTTTAATTAGACTTTTTACGCTGCACTTATATGTGGTAAAGATCCATGAGGATACCAGATAACTCAACCTAGTTGTGTGGCTGCCCTGAATGTGCAAAAAACAAATATTCTTGTGCACATTTCCAATTAATCTGTTTATCTGAATGCAAAGGCCGTGTTTATTGTGTTATAATAAACACTATTTGCTATGTGTGCAATGAATTTATAAGAAAATACGATGACCAAATTTCATTTGAAATTACAAAGGATAATAACACGACGTAACTGTTTAAGTTTTATAAAACCTCCTGAAATTAATAGTTTAATATACAAATCTCTAGTTCTCGTCTCTTAAAAACTCTATCATTGTTCGTTAGTAAATTCATTAAAAAATTTTTACTGATATGTTTTACAATGTACACAGTTTCTTTCATACGGTTAGTCAATAGAACAGAGTTACTCTATAATATGGACACATTTAATTACAGTAAGAAATCATGTTACGTTTTCTCCAGTGCAATCATGAATAGAATTTCAATGAATTTTAGTTCTAAATGCGTATCATGTTCTAGATTCCAACCTAACACATCTAATATCTGGCAAAAATTTCTAACAAATTTAAAGAAACAAAAAAGAAAACAACTTCTTAAGTCATGCACACTTGTGGACCACTGCAGAAATACGTTTATTTTAATTTGTAACCAACTGAATTGTCAGTCTAATTAGTCAAAACTTTAAGGTATGAGAACTCTTGAATTTGAGGAATATATATTTCCGGGTTTCTGAGCAAATTTTTGCAAAGGGATGTTGAAAATTTTTTATCCATGCCGACTTCTTTTTTTAAAAGCACAAAAATAAGCATTTCAAGGGTACGTCATGCGTAGAAAGTTCTTAAAACGAAATCATTCGTGAATGAAAAGTAAATTTAATCGTAAGGTCGTCAAGTAACATCGTTTGATATGGCGTACGTACCAAGCAATAGCAACTTAATATTTTCGCCTAGCTTGGTGTCTAGTTTTCTATTTTAGCTTCCATTATTTCAGTTTTTATCGTTGGGCATAATGTTGGACACCAGTAAGTTGCTACAATTTAGATTGCGTTTCTTGGAAGATTAACGTAATAAAAAACCTAAACATCCCTTACTTTATTGATATTTTATTTCATTTGCTCATGGAGTAATAAGTCTTCGATTTTGTCGTCAACCTGTAATTGCGTCGTTGATTAATCCTAAGATACTCTGTTGATTCTTTAACATTCATTACTTAATTCGAAGGTTTGTCGATAGTAATATTGTTTGCAATAACTGATTTTTTTAGCAGTGGAGCAGCCAAGTAAAAATTTCCTCTACTAATAACAGAACGTTTGTGAATTTATCTCTCTTGAGTTCGATGTCGCAATAAGTAGCAAACATTGGTTTTTTTTCTTCATCCTGTTGAGTATTTTTTGAATAAATGTTTTGATTTTTTTATTTTCTGATTAAATTTTTGAAGGTCTTTTATCGAGATTTCATAATGTAGCCTAACTCAAAGCAGCCCGCTTCTTTAAAACCTTAATGGAGGTCGATAGCGACGATGTTAATGAGTCCCTTAACCAAGGCGGTATTTCTGTATTGGTTCACCCTCTTGTAATACTTAACATTGCTGAACACTGGACAAGGGAGAAATTGGCTCGAGATTCCATTTCCACTACTGTTCATGGGGCTCTCCTAGGCAAGCATAATGGCCGAGAGGTTGAGGTTTGCGCATCAACGTCTCTTTAACCGATTCAGTTGTTCAATTCCTTTGAGATATTACTTAATGAAGACATGTCAGTTAATTTGCAATTTTTCGCTACTCGCGAAGGGCAGTGCAAGGTTATATATCCCGATCTGGACTTTGTTGGTTGGTACACAACGGGAGGGGTGATTACGGAACAGGACAAACTTTTTAACTGCCAAGTAATTGATGTATTTCTAACAGCAACTTTTCTTTAGATGCAAGATATCAGTGAATCTCTGCTAATACTGAAACTTAACCCCGTTGAGAAGTTTGGGGAGCATCTTCCCGTTCGTGTGTATGAATCAGCAGTTGCCAATGATGCTCAAGTTCTTTTCAGGCAGGTGAGTTCTAACGGCGTTAGTAGAGGCCCATTACCTTGTAATGAATAGAATACCTCATTTGTCTTCCCGCTATGTTAATCCGAACATTTTAGATGTCACAATAACCTCCAAACTCAAAATGATCAACTTGTGCATTGCCATAGAATGCCTAGTAAATGGGGATTCCTTGATTGCTTACCTGGTTATTCTTTATCCTACCATGTTTAGCCAGCAATTTATGTTTTACCTCTATGTTCCAGTGATGATTGTTTGATGCTGGTAAGCTCAATTGTCGCATCGTGTTCCTACAAAACTGTTCATACTTGTCGCCAAAGACTCGTAAACATTGTTATATGAGTAGTTGCGTTGCCCCACAATGTAGAAAACCACTAGGGACTTTCATCTTATCACTTATTTTCTGCACCAATCCAATCCATGTGTTCACGATTTTCTTGTGGGGACTTCTGCATCTTCTTCTCAATCCATGTGTTCACGATTTTCTTGTGGGGACTTCTGCATCGCGAATCATTTACAGAAATTATTGAATTTGCCCTAAATGAGGTTTTGTTCATGGCCTCGGTGCAGGTGCCCTTTACGCTTGTTCACGACGCAATGGAACGCATCGGTGTAGACCACATTGCGCGCGCTTCTGGCTCAGCGGGTTCTTCAAACGAGACCTCTCTCACCGCCGATTGCCTGCTCGGCAACTTCCAAGCCGTCCAGATGTTCTCGAAGCGTCTCCACCTCATTCGGGCGTACGTGGACGCTGTCATCGCGGGCGAACTGCCGCCGAACTGGGCGCGTCTACGCGAGATTCGCGCTCTTCTGAGTCGCCTTCCGCTGACCGTCGGGGCCAACGACGACCAGCAGTCCAAGTCGCGGCAGGCGCTGCTGCGTCAAGCCAACGACGTCTGTCTGACGGCCCTCCTTGGCGGTCTAACCCAGACCCTCTACACCCTCCACACGTGGCTTTGTTTGCAAAAATCCACCTTCACTCACCTCTCTTCGACTCAGCGTATGCGGGAGAAGATCAAACCGTCGACTATGTCGCACACCTTTGCCACGCCTCAGGATGACTTACTTATCTGAAAAAACCGTGTTTTTTAATGTCATCATTATCATTACTACTGGTTGTAGTACACTGCATTGTGCCTTGCCTGTGACCTGGTGTTTTAGGCATAAATCAGTATACTTTCTGGGAATTTCCACGATTCTCTTGCCCCTGCTTCCACCTCCCATTGGCTGTGTGAGGTTTTCCATCTTCTTGGCATGTAGGCGAAACAGTTCACGTGCGATGACTTCCGTCGCACACTCATCGTCCGCCCTGTGTTTTTCATAACATGGCTACTGAAATTCTGTTAGTAAAAAGTGTAAATTAGTAATGTATGTTTAAATTGGTAGTATTGTGCCACTTCCAAGTCCCTTTGGTCGTTTCTATCTTCCCTGGCTAATTTTAGAGGTCAAGGTGATTATTAATACAGAATACGGACTGCTATATGCTGTGCAATCATCTTGGTGATCATCTTTCGCTTTGCCGCGATGTTAGTTCGGTCTCTTAATTGAGACTAAGTACTTATTTAAAAAAATTACCTATAACCACCTAAGGACTTGAAGCAGATTCAATATGCCTAGTTTTCTCTTTGGTGTAGGTATTTGGTTATAAAATAACTTTGCTACTGATATTTAGGTAGTAGCAGTTCATTTAGCAGGGACTCCAAAATATCAATTCTCGAATCCGAAGACTTTTAAGCCATGTATAACTTTTTGATGCAAAAAGAAGCGCGTAGAATTATATGAGCGCACAGATCACCACATACATGGACAAGATTCTGAAAAGAGAAACAATTTTTTAAAGCGGAAATATGTACCTGGAAGCTTGGCGAAATCAACGATATCACATGCACAGCTAGCCTTTGACGTTGTAGGACCTGAACAAATGAATGACAGCGCGTTGGTAATGACAATTTGAATGGGCAGTATAGTACCGCCAGATGAATTATAGTCCGTTTGTTTTTAAATCTACTAAAATGTTGTAAGTAGTCATTTTCTTGAAAACTGTCGGAGTGCCCACTTTGCACACTGAAGTTAGTAGTGGAGATATTCTTCCAGCCCCTTAAACAAGACAAACTCCTACCTACTTTTACAGCCTCCATGTGTTCTTCGGTGAACACGAGAGTGAAAATACAATTGTTATTTCACCTTTCCAACCCTCGTTGATGTACTCGAAGCAAACGCCACGTTGGCGATAATAATACGGATTTTTGAAGTTGTCAAAATCGATTTTAATCACTCCCAATCTTCTGATGCCTCTAATTAGTCTGTGCGTTGGCCCGGACAAACGAGCGTTCGTTAACGCGATTCCCTACACAAAGCATTCAGGCAGGTGTCCACTTAGTGCCTGAATCACGCAGCCATTGACCATACGTGATTCTTCTTAATTCCATCCATCCGCAACCCTCATGCCATTTTCGCGTCCGCCTTATTAAACGGACTTACTTGCATGGCAGAATTTCAACCTGTGCTGGATGTCGGATATGTGAAAGGCGTGTGTGTTCATGGTGATTGCGTAATTATTGCCCTTTCCTCCTCCTCTTCTGTCGGACGGCTGTCATGAGTGGCACTGATTTATGGCTTCCGCCTACGAAGACACTCCCACGACACTCCTGTCCACAATCAGCCACGCGTGCAATTTTCACGGGAACACTTCCGGTGGTTCCGCGCCAATCGCTGTCTTGGAGGGCACGTTGCAGAAGACTTGCTTCCTCTTTTTCGTGGTCCATTCGCTGTGTTAGTCTTAATGTTAATAATGATAATGATAGCTTGAAAAAACAGGCAGCCAATCAGGTCAACGCCCACAATCAAATGAAAATTTCCCCAATAAATGCAGATTTTTCGTGGTACCTTTCCTGTTTGTGACTTGTGCAAAGGCATCTTTGCTAACTGTGCATGATTTTCCCCCAAAAAAAACACTAACTGAAACAACCAATCAGATAACACAATGCGGAATGACATACTACTGAATAGGGCAGATTTAGACAATGGTAATCCTCTACTCTAACAAGACAGTTGGACAGGAAACATGAGCTAATGGTCTGTCTAGAGCTACGCACCCAAATAAAAAAACAGTCTCAGGCACAGTGAATAGAAGGTGGTTTTGCCTAAGAACAGAGAAAACTCACCACTAACTACTTGCTGGCGCAGTTTTGAAAATTGTTCCAATTTAGCATTTTGCAAGCAATCTTTCGAGCCGTAGAAACTGTCGTAAGATAAATTAAGTCGTGCCTTTTCAGGAGGCATAGTTTGCAGGAATCATCGATTGGGGGACGGAAAATCAATGAATGCGAATCAATACTGTGGGACGCTTGTGGTGATTTGAATTATCGATTTGAACATGGCACTTTGAGAATGGCTTACTCAAGTAAATCTGCTCCGAGATTGGTATATTCAAAGACAATCGTTCAAAAATCCACACAAAATTGACGCTTTCTCGTGAATGAGTGGATTAGTTTCGTGTATTCACGATGCCCACAGCAAGTGCATCGTTTATCATGAGAGAAGCGAGTGGAGCCCAAGTACGATAAACTACGTCTATTAGTTGCGTCCCTGGGGGCTACCTCGCTGATTGGCTGATCACCACAAAGTAGAGAGAGTGTAAATTTGGTGAGAAGACGACGACATGGTTAAAGAGCTAAACATGCTTTAATTCTCGACATTCCACCTCTTCCAAGAAGGTAGACTCTATTGAATTTAGTTGCGAATCCTGTGGCGTTAGAAATTTGTCATCCGATTGGTCGAGAAGTCGCTACTTAAGACATGGCAGGAGGATGGATTTCGCTCATACACCTAAAATCTATCTATAGTTACGCTGTTTTCAAGCGCGATCAAGAGTAATCGGTGCTGTCGTCATAGCGACGCCCTTGTACTCGTGATGCTGAAAAACATTTTTCTGCATTCCTCTAAAATGCTACAATGTCGAGCTTCACATTATCCCCTGAGTTTTGTGGCCAACATGATTGATGTTTGTAAGAAATGCCACAAAAGCTAAATCACATATCTGCCTACATTTAATTTCTCCAGGAGGAGACGCATGTAATCTGGCGTGCTATTTGCGTCTTCTGAATAGAAAGAGAGTATGGGTTGTTGTGCGCCGCAGCATGTGGTCGTGAAGCACACCGGGGTCACTGAATTAACTCTGGCCGGATTTCGCTTCCCTGATACCCGCGATGAAGAAAAAGATCAGAGAGGATGTGGACACAACCGTTTACTTTAGAGCTCAACCTCGTTGGTGTCGGTGCGTCGTATGTGGGGTTTGCGCTTGTGTATTTATACCTCAGATGTGTGTCATACATGCGCTGACATCAAGACTTAGGTGTGAGGATACTCCAAGATAAATATCCGTGTGAATAAGAGGGGAGTTGAGGATCCGTGCGGCTGGCGACATGCTGCGAAAAGGGGAACCCTGTGTCTGAGGCTGGAACGACCTGATTAAGGGGTGTGAACAGACCCGATTCACAACAAGGTCACGAACACGTGACATCTGAAATTCACGTGTTCGTAGTGCCCATAGTAAAACGAGCCTTGCAAGATTATTTTGCTTCGAACAAATTGTTCGCATGTAATTATTGTCCACACCATAGTCTATCACATATCGTCACATTTCACACTATACCTATTAAGGTAAGTCAAAATCTACTCAAGATCGACTCCGTATTATTGCATTTCACACCTATTACATCTCAGGTTGACATATTTAACAACATATCAATTGCATTCTAACATGGTCCACATAATACTAAACTAATTTCATTCCATTTCACATCTAATTGCTTATATTTGATGGCATTATATTGGTTGTGTGGCATCACAGTTCACACTATATCTATAGCGCGTTATTATAACCTGCAAAATGTCATGGATAATCTAAACTGGATCATGTTTCTGTTACGTTTGTCAGTAACAAGGAGAAAACCACTCAAATGACGGTACCAGATCCCTTGTTGACGCTTGAACCAACCTTCCCATGCTAATACAAGAACAACACCAGAGCTCATGTAAAGACCTTTAATCACGTCAGCCACGTGCGGAGTGTGTTGTAAAAAGTGAAACCAATTCAAATCAAGGTTGTCCTTGACCTGTTAAAAAGCGTAATAAAACACAAGTTTGGGAATTAGTGTAAATAGTGCCAAAAACCAACGATGAGCAATTTTGGGGAATGGTGGATCCCCAACAGTTTCATGAAACTTTACACTTTAATGATCTTACATAACATTAGTTCATACCATTTCGATCACATGGCATTGTTGTTAACTTGGTGAAATTTCAGAAACAACGGCCTCTTCATATGCAGAAATCGACGCGGAATGCGACCATACACGGGTAAGAATTAGATCACCTTATGACCTGGTCATCGCCCCCAACCCATTAGTGCCCCCCTAACGCCACTCCCACTTCGCTGATGCCTCGGTTTTTATGACTTTGCGCGTCAGCCACGACTTCTGTTTGACCTAGACGAGTCACTTTGGGGGGGGGGAGGAGGGGAGGCGGACGTTTCTCGTGGCGAAATCGTCGTGTCGCGGTTTGTTGGGGCAATAAAATTCCGCTATGGGAGGGGTGGACTTTGGGGTTAGTTGCGTAGCCCCAGTTTGTTTCTCTTAATGGCCTGACTGCGTTCCCCCTCGACGATCAGGAAGTGGTCGCTAATTCGCCGTTGCCACGACGGAACGCTGGCTGGGGGAAGCCATCTAGTTGAGAGATTCTGTAATCTCCTCTAAAGGCTTCATTTATTTCTAACGCATTTTAGATCTACTTTTTGCGTATACCTTGCTTACCCTCAAGTTAGTAAGGGAAATCATTGAGACATGCCACAGTCTTGAACACCAGCATGTGGTCTTGAACCACGCTGGGACCATGGAATTGACCCTGTCCCGATTACATTTCCCTGGTTCCCGCGATGAAGAAAAAGACCGGAGAGGACGTGGGCACAAGCGTCTACTTCATAACTCAGCCTCGTTGTTGCGCTTGCGTTTGTGTATTTATACCTCAGATGCGTGAGTCATACATGCGCTAATAACGAGACCTAGGTGTGAGGA